GGTCGCGCCGTACCTTGGTGGCATGCGGTTGATGTGAGAAAATCTCGCCATTAAGTGGTTAAAGTTCCTCGACTTTCTCCGGCTGCCTCTAGCCCAACACCAACCCGTGGTTAAGCTTAACCACACACTTTGAACCGGTGCTATTGATTACACAGTAACGTGATTAAAAAATCTGGAGGTGATGCCGGGGGGTCAGCGTTCCTCCCAAATGATTACTCTTTATGTAGAACAATTGTTTTGGAATTATTCACTAGGCAGGAACTTGTTTTATGAGGCCTGACATTACTTCAGTTAAAACTACCGTAAAGTGGAGAAGTTCCTATGCATTGAACAAAGTCAAAATACTCTCTTTTAAATGCTTTGGAGAGAAATACATGCTTTACTAGTACGCAAGTGCATGGTCAGCAGAACTGTGACCAGCAGGGCTGCCAGCAGAGGAGACCAAATCAGAGAGTTACAGCACTTAAAACGTCTTCAATTAATATTAATAAAAGTGATGTTTGGCTGCCTGACAGCTCCCTGAGCAAAGTTAACACCACTGTGATCAGATTTCCCACAAAAGGACAGCAGGCAAGTACAGCAAGAGTATCTTACATTCAGAGCACTAGGTAAGGGCTGGGCAGGTTTGATTTCCAAGTAAGCTTGGATGAATCACTTCATTTTGCTGTAGTTCAGTTCCTCCTCAGTCAAAAGAGAGATTCTGCCCTTTCTCTTAGCCTTATATGGCCTCCTCTTACCTTTTGCAACTGTTGAAGGCAAAGGTCATCCTTTTGCAGGGAGGAACAGTAATAGAACAACGGAATGTAGATCAAAGCCTTTGAACACTGACACAAATTATAAAAGCGGGAAAGGAGTATAAACAAAGGAGGAAAGAAAAGAAAGCAAATGCTGTCAAGCTGACTGTTTGGTTGTTTGAATGTCAAAATAAGATGGGGATGGTAGAGATTAAAGTCATTCAGTTAGAGACTGATCCCCAGTGTGTCTGACCTCTTTCTGAACCCTTCTGGGAAGAGTGACTCAGCTCAGGCGGGCAGCGCCATCCTACCGAAACCTGAAACCCGCTGTTCCACGGTCTTCCTTTTGGGGTTTCCCCAGAGCCAGGCCTGCGCTGAGACACAGATCCTTTAGTAATGATGTCTGAAGCCAGTGGAGGAGTTTTGGTTGTCATTGTTGGCATGACTTGTGGATCATCGTTACAGGTAGCAGGTAGCCAAGGTGGTATCTGGGAAAGCCACTGGCAATTTCTAACTACAAAACTTAAATAGCAAAATGACATGTCCAGAAGGCATGTTAAGGTTTGTGACAGTCATGGACTAATGAGATTTTGATTCACTAATGAGTTTTTGATAACTTAGGTATATTAAAAAGAACTCTGAACATGAATTTTGAGAGGGGTTTCCCTCTACCCTTGCACAGTGGAAGACATGTATTTGCTACAATCATTAGAAAAATTCCATAGCTGATCATTTTTGTTTTACCTTTATGAAGCCAGGCAGAATACTTTGCAGGCTTTTAGTTTTGTTCCAGCTAATCTCTCTCTTGCCTTGAGCTTCCTATTCAGTTAAAGCCCAAGAAACTAGAGTCTAGCAGGCTGTTAGGAGGGGATTCAGAATAACTGGTTGTGCTTTCAAGCTTTTCAAAGAAAGGTTAATGAAATATGTTGTTTTCACCTCAGTGTATGAAGGATGACTTTTTAAAATTGGTAGCTTAAGGGGAGCTGAAGAGAGAGAGAGGAAAGAACTGAGAGTAAATAGTGATACAATGAAGACAGAGAGAACTGGAGTCCATGCAACATCTTATTCTATCAATCAGCTCCAAAATAAAAAAAAAAAAAAAAATCCAGGAAATCTGTAGAACCTGTAGGAGTTCAGGGATAATTAGGTGTATTGCTTGCTTTTCTTTGAACTTAGGGAGCAAAAAGCAAAGTTAATGTCAAATCATAAAGTAAGAGACAAATTATTTTTTCTTCCTGGTCCCTTTCCCTCACTAAAAGCTATCAACATGAGAAAGTGAAAGGTAGCAAGTGGAGGTAGAAGGAAATATATTTCAGAGGAGAAATCGCTCCGTCTGTCACTGTGAGTTCCAGGCTCTTAAAATCACTGAGAAGTCTTATGTGTAGGAAAAAAAAAAAAAAAAAATTCACTGTGGCACGTAACTGCAATAGGTTGACATAGCATGTAGTTTTGGGTGTATTTCACCAACGCCAATTATCTACTACTCTAAAATTGCAGCCTTGCCAGCTATTGTATGTGGATGCTTGCGTTCACCCTTGTAAAACTGAAACCAACTCACCCATAAGAAGACAGCAGATCAATACCAAGGCAAGCATTTTCCTTGAAGCCAAATTTCCAGCAAAGAATCTTGAATGAATCCACAAAATATAAGGAATTTCTCTAAAAATAGCACATAGATAGAGCTGAAATGTATCCATTGTAAGACTCAGGGACGCATACATGAGGTAGTGATCAGTAGGTGAACAATTTTGGGACCACAGTGGTCTAAGAGGGAAATCAACCACTTGCCTTGTGTTCTTCCATTACCCCTCTTCTAGGTATCTCATGTAAAGCACCATGGCTAACTCAGTTAAGAAACCAAAAATAAGGAAGAAGATAAAAGAAGAATCCCCCCTCCCCCTCAATTTGTACACGACCAAAAATTTTTAACAGGCACTGGAATTCTTCTATTTTACTTTGGTATTTGCCGAGGTTTCAAGTAGTATGAACTTACAGATGCATGCAAAGGACATCTTGCAATGCACAAGAAACAACATAAATGTACTGAAAACAGGAAACTAAACACATACAAGAAAGCCCACTCCTGTTCAAACTATATTTGAGCAAGCCTTAAACAAATTAAAGACTTATTTTAACAAAAGCTAGCTCTTCAAACACTTACCTCTTTACTTCCAACTCATAGTGTTTGCTGTTGTGATTTTTAATCTTCTTCCTGGAAATGTAATCGAGTTGTGCGATTCTGGCCTAAAACGGGGAAAAAAAAATCTTAGAGGAAAACAGTACTGCCCTGTTCAGTCACAAAGCCTCCCTCTGCAAAATTTACTCTGGTAGGTCTACTAACCTGTGGGAGAAATCAAGAATGACCTGGACCTTCATCTGCAAACTGAGTCCTTTCAGAGGTAGATCAAAGGGTGTGTAAAGGGGCATCTCTGATTCAGCAAGACCTCTTGGTTCTCTTAAAGTCCCACTCCCTCTAGGACTTTTGATAACTAAAATGTTCTGGTCCTCAGCACCTGACAGACTGTGCCTTCTGCAGCCCACCTCTGTTCACAAGGGTTTGTGTTGGGAAACATCATTGCGTAGCAATGGATGAAGACATTAAGCTCTTCGTAATCCCATGCTCATATTCACAACCTGCAAAGGCAGAGGTGCTACCATCAAATAGTTCAAAAGTTAAAACCAAGATTGAAATCACAATCACAAGATTAAAAAATAATGCTGCTGGTGTCTTTATATTTGGATAAAGATTATGTTGCATTCAGACATCCTGTATATACCACCCTCTGTCTTTGAATGTATGAAACAGTGAGCAAGTATTTTATCGACTCACAAATGCATGGGAAGAGGTAATTTGGAGTGGTACTAAAAAGCTGATAAACATCTGCTTATTCTCTCTTCTTTTGTTGCTTGATAATAATAAGGCCCCTGATGAGGCAAGCGTGTGCACACAGGTTTTCCAGACCAGCACCCTGAGGAGTCCGACTTCTCACCATCTCTTTGCTGAGCCTGATATTCTTCATTATCTTTCTGAAATCAGCAGCTCCAGCAGTAAGAGAGATGCACACTAGTTTGGGAATTCAGTAGTTCAGTGCTGCCCTGGAGGAAGGGTTTGCTGCTGACTGAAGGGGATTCCCACAGCATTACACAACCAGAAAATGCCTGAGTCATATGGCATGAGGTTTTAAAGATCAGCCCTCTCCTCAGGGGAAGAATGTTACTTTATTTCTCTGAGCTGTTCTGAGGTAAGTTTATAAAGTGAAAAGGAGAGTTAAGGAAGTTATGTCATGCCAGTAAAGACATTTGCTTTCTGCTTTAGCTAGCTTTTGAGTTTTAGTTGGAAAGCGGTGCTGTCGCGCTTTGCATTTCGATCTTGTAGCACAGGGAAGTGTGTTTTTAATCACAGAATGTATCAGCAGTTAATAGCCAGGCAAAAGGTAGGAAATATTTTTTATTTGTTTAGTACTTAATACAAATGTATTACAGTGAGAGCCTGACCCCACTAAACTCTGCAGATTGTCTTCTCCCCTCTCACAGGCAGAGCAGCACGCTGTACTCATGAGGCTCAGGATATACTGCTTGTGCCTGTGAAACGGAGAGAAGAGGAAGAGATCAAGAAGGAAAAAAGAAACACCTCCCTCTGTTGATCATTCTGAATTAGAGCATTGTTTAGGATATTTACTGGTGAATTTTTCAACCAGAATAGGCCTTCCTAGAGCCAAATACATTTGAGCCCATTGTGGTATGTGACATGAATGCTATGGTATTTAAATATATATTAAAAAAAGTTGTAGTAATTAATTTACAGTAACTGTCTGATGAAATAAAGTCTCCTAGAAACAGAGAGGAAGTATAATCAGTTAGTGATGGCATGCCTACTTAGAGCAGCTTACATAAGCAGCAGAAATAAGGATGTGCTTATGTGGATAGGTAAACTTCTCATTTCTCCTGTAGATTAACTTGTCATCATTTGGGGTTTAAACCCCAAGCCCTGAATTAAGGTTGACATATGGGTGATTCCCACAGCCCTTCATACAGAGGGGTGAGTTTGCCTTATAGCTTCCCCCCAGGGTGTGGCCGGGCCGGCAGGGAGAGCCACAAGGGAAATGAGCCCCTGGGGTCCAGCACTGAGTTGACAAAGGTCAGGTGTCTGCTTGGGGATAAAAGCTGGGACCACTGGCAGGGAGTCAGGAGTGTCTGTCTGTGGAGTGCACTCCCCAGAGCTTCCTGGTTCAGGGCAGACCTCCTGACTCTCCCTGGAGCTGGGCCCCGGCCTGTTTAGACCTTTGCGAACGCAGGCCGATCGTGTGAGAGTCGCCATGTGGGCACCTTTCTCTTATGTATTTAACTGGCTGGTCTGGCTGTTTCCCATGCCAACTATGGGCAACCTCGGCTCACTGTTTGTACCACCTGTTGTGGGTCGAGTTGTGTCGTTTGTGGGATTGTTGGGGGTGGCGTCGATCATGTACCAGCTGATTGATCTGTTTGTACCCCCGGCGGTCATTCATATCATAATGCTTTTGTTTACAATACAGTCTGCGTATTGGATTCTCTTCTTGCTGGTGCTATCATTTTTGTTAGGCCTGGTCATTGGCAAAACACCAGGTCATTGTTTCTAAGACAAGGCATGCCTGGATGTAGGAATTTGATCATTAATTTAAGATAGCCTGAGCGAGCTGTTGGTATTTGAAATAGTTGTGTTAACAAAAGATTACAGTGACAGAAAACACCAAGTTCCTCAAATACTGACATTTAGATGCAGAATTGTTTGAAAGATACAATTTTTGGTGTAGGAAGTTTCAAGGTTAAAACAGATTAATTCTGTGAGTCATCCTTTCTTGAAGAGCACACCCTAAGGCACATTACCTGATCAAATATTATTTCTGAAAGGCTTGCAGCACTGGAAAACAACTTACAAAAAAACCTCTAGAAAACAGGAGTGTCCCAAAATAGGTGCATGTAAAATAACTCATCTTTGTCCTTTAAGTTTTTGTCTAACATATATATTTGTACTGTGGGCAAGTACAGGCTTTGTCCACATGAAAATGCCCAGGAGACAATCCCCAGCCTCCTACCTGAACAAAAGCCAAGCTGAACACACAGTTGTGCTATGAAAAGGAGATTGTGTCCCCTTTCTGGCTCGTGGCACTGGTCTAGACCACTGGCCTTGCTGTTTTGACACAACTCTGCTCAGGGTTAGTTGAACAGATGCATCCTGGCACCAGGTAGTTAATAGGCCCAGCACAAGGGAGTGAGGAAATAGTTGGGAGATGAAGGGTTGAGGCTGGGGTAGAAGAGAAGCAAAACTCATCCAGTCCAACAGCTGTAAAATCAACTCTTCTGCAAATCTCAACCTGCAGGACTGCCTCACCCTTAGCAACATCCCTCTATAGTACCTGAATGAGGCCATAATACTTACTGAAAAGCACAAGTGGAGACTTGTGACATGACCTTCTGAGTCCCATGTATTACCAGAATTTTAAATGGATGTTGCCAATACTACTCAGGGTCTTGATGAACAAAATCCTCATCAGACCTCGAGGCCCTGTCTTGGCTCCCTCAAAAGTCTTCAAAGGCATCTTCCCACTGGGACATCTTCCTATGGACACAGACTAGGATGGTTAAATAGCCTTGTCTTTAAGCTTTTACAAAGCATGCCTGAACTAAGAGAAGGCTCAAAAGTAGACCTTTGAATTTCATAAGACTTCAGAAAAAAGTATACGGATTCACTCAAACCAGATGAATAAATGCTGCCACCACCATAGGTTCTGTTTGAAATGTGAACTCAAATAATTAGCTATTAAAAAAAAAAAAAAGGCAGAAAAAAAAAAAGCCTAACAAGGTTTGTCTTTAGGACCTGAATCTCTCCTACCCATCTAATGGAAATAACTGCTATCAGGGGGTCAAACATAACAAATAAAAAAGGTGGAAACAAGCTGCTTAAAGTGTTTTCTCAAGCAGCCTTATGACTAAGGCCATATAGCTCCTGTCTGCTATTGCATTGCTTCTCTTTCCTTATATATTTTGATCATTTTTATCCTTATCTTAAGTGACAGGAAACTATTTGCTTCTGTTGGTTTTGGGTGTTTTTTGTTTGGTTTGGTTTGTTTTTTTCCTTGATGGTTTACTGAGCTCTGGCACAAGACAAAGGGCAAAAGTTCTGGGGAACCTGTGAAGGCAGAATGTAGGTTGGTTTAGGGTGCCATGAAATGACAGCCTGTGTTTAAATCCTGCTGAGAAACTGGGTCCTTCACAGGAAGAGCCTAGATAGGCCTTGCAAAAAAACCACCACATAGTTGAACAGAGCTAAACAGAAAGGGGAATGAAAAGTCAAAGAAGTTGTCAAAAGACATCTGTTTACTTCATGCAGAACAAATAGTTTTTCTGGATTCCAAATTGCAACTTGGAAGGAAGAGGAACAAACACTGCAGACAGGCATGTAACTGAACCTCGGTCTGTGAATGTCAGCTGGTTTGCTTTACAGGTTCTTCCAGGGGACTTTTGCTTGCTGTTCAGCAAGTATTTTTGGAGGAAGAGGAAGAGAATTGCATGATTATATTTGTCTAAGCCTTCCAGCTTCCAAGTGACGAGGTACAAACCAAGATTCAGGCAAAGAATCTTGCAAATTGACAGAAGATTTGGAAGCAAAGCTAGAGACAATTTTTCACATGGAGAGCCTTAATCCCATACCAAAACTATGTGGGCCCTATGGGTGCTTGCAGAGACCACTCCTGTCCTAACTTAACCTCACTGGTGACAAAAGACCTGAGGGGAAGTCACATCTTGGCTTTTCCAAATCTGAACAGCTGAATGCAGGCAGGGGCCAGTCTGAACTTTTTATTGACTCCTGAAGGAAAGATCTCGGTCTTTGGTTGTCCATAGCTGTGAAATGTCCTTTAAAGCAAATGTTTTCAGAATATCCAGTTTGGCAGGGAAAAACTCTCAGAAAACCCATGAATTAAACTCAGTATCTGGGTGCTAAATAGATCTCTGAGTTGACTACTGCTATGCTACTTTGCGTGGGTGAAAGGATCATGCTCCACTTTGCCATCTGTGTAACACAGTGGCATTATGTGCCACTGTGATATGGGGAAGAACTATTGGCAAGGTTTAACTGCAGGCATGCAGGTTGGAGTGTGTCTCCTAAAGCACAGAGAGCTCAAGCACTCAGTCTCACGAGGTGTATTCCCAAGTTGGGCAGCTATACAACTGGCAAGCTGAGAAGTGGGAGGAGAATGAAATAGAGA